TCGGCCACCTCACCCAAGACGCGGCCCTGCTCCTCGATGAGGCCCATGTTGCCTCGAAGGAAGTCCTTCCGCACCATCCCGGGCTTCAGCGGGACGGAACCGCATAAAGTGACGACATCAGCCTTCTCAAAGGCCACCTTCGGGTCCGACGTGATGACAACGCGGTCCAACAGCGGAAAGAGGCAGTCAGTGAGCTCCATACTGACCCCCTCAAGAACATTCATGGTGGGCTCCACATCCAGCAGGTTCAGCTGGATGTGCTGCTTGGGCCCCAACATGCGGCCGCAGGCAATGAGGGGAAGCAACGCGTAAGCAACCTGACCGGCGCCCCCCGTCACAGCCACCCTCACGCACGACTTGTTAGCGAACATCTCAACTTGCCGACAAACTTGCTTTTAAAGGTTTATATTGTGCACAATCCTTACGGCAACAAATTGAACGAAAACTATTTCTGATTGGAGTTGCTCTCAGCAAAAAACCACAACAAAAAAAAACGGCCGCGCCGCGCCACCCTCCGCGGAAGTTTCCACCGCCCACGAAAGGCGAAAAGGGATAATAATATAGACCCAAATAGGGGAATTACATCCATATGATGAGGAGTTTTGGTGTAAAAAAAAGCACGTTTTTTTTTTCTTTTGCCTTCCTCGGTCTTTGTTATGAAGGCGAGAGCCGCATTTCCTCCGTGAGAGTGGAAACGGTATAGGGAAACTGTCAGGAGACGCAGGCATTGTTAATTTGAAGCAGGGAGCGTGCTTCATCTGCATATGATGTATTCTCAATTAGCAGCGTCCGCTCAACACGCTCAATACATCCGTAGATGTGGAACTCTACCTCGTCGTGAATCGATTGTGACGCCCCTTTGTTTTTGGCCGCAAAGCCAGAGCGCACACCTATGGTGTATGGGAGAATAGAGAAACCGTCCATATTTGTGGCTTCTTTGCGCATGTCCACTACTCCATTATGGTCGTTTTTTTTTTCGCTGGAGGCTCAGCAGCAACAAACTGGGCAGACATCCCTCGTGTTAGAGCGCGCGCACTCCCTTGACGTAGGACGAGCGTGCAGTGGGGCGTCAGTTGTTTTGTAGGAGCGACGCGGAATGATCCTGCACCACCGAAAGTGCGGCTTGCCGCAACGTCTCTGGATCGTGTGATGCCTGCAGGGTCTCCTGTGGTGCCTGCGCCTTTGCCGTAAGTGTCATAGTGACTTTAGACAACAGAAATGGATGACACGTACAGTACAACACACAACAACGTGCCTCGCGTGTAATGCCTTGAAGCAACTCCACTCATTGCAGCACAATATCGTGAAATGTGGCTTGCTTCATCCTCCTCACCACAGTAATAAAAAAAATATAAAATACGGAAAAGGAAAACGCTTCGCGCAGCACAAAGAAACACTCACACAGACACACAGATCAAAAAATAGATAGCTGCAGGGAATGAGCGAAGATGGAACACCCCCGTCCACCTGCAGAGATTAAGTCTCCTTCATATATATATATATGAAGGGTGAATAAAAAACAACAACAAAGCATTTCAACAGGCGTTGCAAAGAGGGATACTCGGCTTCTACTTTCTTGCTCATTTATGCCTTGGCAGCCTTGGCCTTGCGAGCGGCGCGGGCCTTCTCAATGCGCTTCTTGGCGGCCGGCTTGCTGTCAACCTTCTTGGCGTTCTTCTGCAGCTTTTTGAGTGCGATCTTGTGCCACGAGACGGGTTTCTTCTTGTCATTCTCGTCAAAGATCTTGCGCGTCCAGAAGGCACGAGAGCGCTTGGCGACACGCAGCTGGTAGCGCTCAAAGTCGGTCGACGTCGCGAACGCCTTCTTCGCCGCAATGCGCACGGCAGCTTTCGTGGCGGTGTACTTCTCGAGTGTCTTCTTCTCCGCAAGGGCCTCCTTCAGTGCCTTTGTGCTGCAGTTGCGGTTGATGGGCACCCTGAACTTCAGCGGCTCAATGTTCTTCAGGTTCTGCACGTGACGCCACATCTTTTCGTCTGCGGGGTTCTCCACGAGCACGCGGTTGCCGTCGATGATGTCAACAACAACCCCGACGCGGTCCTGACGAGGGCCGCGAATGATGCGCACCAAGCGACCGGCGCGAATGTAGTTTGCCTTCACCATTTTCGTTCTTTGCTCCTTGCTGCCTAATGCGTCGAAATCCGGAAGCGAAGAGGAAAGAAGAACATTAACCCCAAAGTGCAGCAACACTCTCTACATACACCGTACAGGACCCCCACCCCACCCCCCAACCGCCGCCTCCGCAGTGACAGGCGTCAGTTCTGGATACCACGAAGCTGTATTTTTTTTCTTTGTTTATTCGTTTGGCATCAGGAATGTGCCCACCCTAAGTATACATACATACATACATATACATATTATATATATATATATCACGAAAGTGAGGAAGTGACTGGCTGACAGACCAGGGTAGGAAGGGAGGGAAGGAGGGAGGGTACAAACGCTGTGGTGGCAAGGAGCACACACACACACACAAAAAAAAAAAAACGTGGTAAAAAAACATGAATGACAAATAGAAGCCAAAAACATTTAAAAAGAAAGAAAGAGGTGCAACAGTTGCGTGATGCTACATGATATTTACCATCGTCATGGTATCTTGCTTTTTATGTTGCATTCCCTGCGTGTACATACATCACACACACACACACACACACACATGTGTATCTCTTGCCACGGTGATGCGCCCAATACTCCCCGGTGGCCTGTTGTCAGATTCAACATTTTTGTTTTGTTTTGTTGTGTCTTCCGATCCCCTCCCCCACCTCCATCAACTTTTCCTCCCCTTTTTCCTTCTTCCACTTTGCGTGCCTCTACCTCGTTTGCCATTTGGCATCTTTCACGTACATCTATTTCATTGCATCCCTCACCGCCTCACCCACAAGCTCCCTCCGCGAGTCGCCAGCAGACGCTATATGGCGAGGGCGCAGACGCAGGCCGCGCCCATCAGCTGCCAGTAGTCCGACCCCTTGTCTGTCGGCACCTCGAGGGACAGCACGTAGTTGGAGCTGGCCCCTAGGGAGGAGATGATGCCTGCCCGCACCACCGTCCGGTACAACGGCACGCGGTGCCACTTAGCGCCCATCTTGTGATTAGGCTCTGGCAAAAAGTGTACCACCGGCAGAGACGCGTACGGCTCGCCCGGCAGTGAGTCCGCCATGACGCCATGTGTTTGGTCCCAGCGCCAGGAGTCAGTAAAGATGCCGTACACGTAGCACCCGCGATCGGGCCCTGCCTCAATCTTCTCCACCTCGCCCTCTATCACTTGAAAGCAGAAGCCCAACTTGTCGACGGAAACCCCCTCCGCACGCGAAAAGGCCTGATACACACCGGTCATAAAGGCGCTCGGATTGAAGAAGCCACCAATCCAGAAGCAGGCCGGTTCTCCCTTTTGCACCCATGTGCGAATAAACTGCACACGCTGCAGGAATTCACGGTACCACGAGCCTAACGGCTTCAAGGAAGTGTACCCCACCGCGCTCCAGAGACGAGGGACCTGGTCAGTCAAGAAAGATTCATACATCGCATCGAGGTCCGCTGAAAGCACCGTCAGTCCTTGCAGGGCCTTTTGTAGATCATGAATCGATTTACGCATCGCCACAATTAATTTGTTGTACTTCACCATCTCGTGGGCCAGTACCGTGGACATGGAGTTGGGCAAACCACTCTCTAACGTGGTAAACGTCCTTGGCCCGGCCTCCTCACGCAGAATTACCGCTGGCAGTGCGGCCTCAAACTCCTCACATTTTCGCCTTACTTCTTCCTCAGGCGTTGCACCACCACCTTCAGCCCCACCGCCACCGCCACCGCCACCGCCACTACCAAGACGTGGTTGGATGGAAACAACGGTGCTCATGATGTACTGTGAGACCTGCAGTTGATAGCGAAGATTTGCGTTAATATGCATGCCAAACACTTCAGGCTCATCTACCAGCGACATTTGCTGAATATGTTCCATGAAACTAGAGAGACTTCCAGCCGGTGGAGCGTAGTAATTTCCACTGGAGCTAAACTTGAAGTCGTCGTTCATGATGGAAGGGCAAAGGTAGGCACGCAAAATTGTCTGCAACGTGTCACGATCCTGAGGATCTGTCACGCGACCACCGTAGTTAATTTGGCCAATGATGTACTCAAGCGACTCCCACGGGATGACGTCCTGCTCCTCAAAAAAGAGACGCAGCCACTGTTTTGACACGTGAAAGTCGGTGTCATTCCACTCGTAGCGCACATTCCACCCCAATGGACCAAACTTCTTTCGTTCAAGCACCACGGAGTGGAAGAAGCACAAACCGTACAGTAACTTCTTAAAGGCCACACTCTTGGAGTAGTTGCCCATCCGCTGATCGTCACCGAAGACCTCAAATTCCTCCTCTGTGATTTCGCCAAAGCAGCGGACCATGTTCGCCTTAAGACCCGTCGGCGGCTCAGTTGTCAGTTTGATGCTGTTTTGCAAGACGAAGACGGGGAAGAAATCAGTGGGCATCGACGTCAACCAGAGACGGAAGTCGGCGTGGATAACAGTGCCCGGATGCTGCAACGCGGCAACCTGCAGCTCCAACTCGGGCATAAACGTCTTCGACAAGTGACAGTTCTGCAACAAAGCCCAGGAACCGTTTTTCCGGCACGTCGCGATAAGACGTTTGGCGTTTTCGCCTTGTCCCTGACCGAGCGACACGTATTCCAGCGACCGCTCTTGGCTCTGCGCGAAGGCCTGCAGTGTCCCCATTGGGTCCGCACCCTGCGAAAGAATAAACACAATGGGCACCGATGGGGAACTGTCGGATAGCGCAACCTCCAGACTAAACGGCGGCGGTTCCACGAAGCTCTGCCCCATCGTGTAACTTACGTAGTCCGTCAGTGCGAAGAATAACTTCTCCTCACGGAAGCAGCGAATCAGTAAAATGCGCTGAAACGCGTTCAATTTCTCGTTCCAATTCCCAGGTAGTTCGGCATCCTGAGGAGCATCCAAGTGAATAAACTCCTTCCACGATCCCACATCCTCCACTAGATGGCGCTCCAGATCACGGAAGCAGTGCACGTTGCGAAAAAGCGCCACTGTGAGTTCCCACTGCTGCCGCGAGAGAAATGACAAACATCCTGGAAGCGGTGGCAACTCGCTTGGCACTAAAGCAGAAGCCCGGATGAAGTATTGCCACTCCTCCTCCAGTAATCTGTGGTCATGACGTTCGATGGCGGTACAAATAAGCAGCGAAAGGATGGTTTTATCCTTGTTGAACAAACCACGGCAAAGCTGCTTATACGTGGTCAAGGTCAATCTTGAAATAATGTTCTCAAGATGCTCCTGCAGCATCACATGATTATTTTCCGAGTATGCCACCGGCTTCTCAGTCGCCTGCACCTCATGCTGAACCAGCTTTATGAAGAATTGCAGTGAGTACTGATACATGGGGTCGATTCGGGCAATGTCGGCGAGGACAAAGAAGATAACGGAGGCACGCACCGCCACTTCGCGGTAGCGGTCACGTGTTGAGGTAATAATTTTCATCTTCTCATTAGCATCTTTTTGATTTTCACTAAGAACCTGCGCATTTGACTGTGCCGACTTTAACTCGGCGATGAGCTCGCTGTCGTCCAAGATATTCCCCTTGGTGTTCTTGAGCTTGCTCAGGACGGTTTCCTCGATAACCCTCAGCTTCTTCTGCCCCAGTGAGATGCTCTGAATGATGCGGTTTTTCTCCTCCTCCAGTTCTCGCTTCTCAATGGACACAACTTCCCCAAGCAGCTGCTCCTCCAGGCCATCTAGCGTGACAGTGAAGTTCAGCAGCGTTACCTTGGTGCTGATGTCTGGCAGATAATGCGGGTTCGGCAATTTCGTGCATATAAAGAAGCGGAAGTTGGGATTGTAGTCAATAGCGCCAGACTGTGGGGTGAGTCTGATTTGAGGTGAACCCCCTTCAGAGGCGAATATGCGCCGTGAGAGGAGAGGCTCCAGGGCGGGGTCAAGTGTCTCCCCTACGTCGTCCAGGATTACTACCCCACCGAGGCGTATCTGCACCTCAAGCGTGCGAACCCAGGTGGGCTCCGTCAGTTTGATGACCTTCACGGCGGCGGTAGCGGCAGTCTTTGTGATAGTCTTTGCTCCCCCCGCACCACCGCCAACTCCTGCGTACTGCTGCACCAGCCACTTCACGCCCTGCTCCTGAGGATCAATAAAGAGCGGCCAGCGGCGCGGGGCAGTAGAGAGGGAGGCCACGATGGCGTTCTCCGTTGAGCTCTCATCTGTGGGCAGTCCATTGATCTGCCACGTGAGGATGTCCATGGGGTCACCCAGCGTATTGCACAGACTAAACTCCTTCATCTCAAGCCCGTGTCCACTCAGCTTATCAAGCCATAGCCGAACAAGATGCTTGCGGAAACGAGGGGTGAAGGCACCAAAGTAGGCCGCACACGCGCTTGCCATGAAGCACTGTGGGGAAAGCAACTCAAGTCGCCCACGGAGTTCCGTAATATTCGCCTCCCAACGCACCCCCTCACTCTTCAGTGAATTAGACAAACTCTCTGCATTTTCAAGGCGTCGGATGCAAATCTTTAGGCCCTCCTCCAAGTCGTGTTTCCTTTTAAAGCTCGTTTCATAGTTCTTTTGCAACTCGGTAAGCTCCAGCTCCACACCACGGAGCTGCTCTTGAGCTTCATGTAACTTTGCATTCGTTTCCGCAAGATGGCGCTCTGCCTCCGCAGCAGCCTCACGCATCGGTGCCACCTCCTTCACTACCTTGGAATACTCATTCACTGCATGCACCCAGGCACAAAGGCTGCCGCATGTCTGAGACCCTTTTTGCGAACAAATCTCCACCGTAAACTCTTCATCGTTGACGTATTTCTGAATCTTATTCAAAATAGCCGGCTTTACGTTATCTGTGGGGTATCCACGGATCATGTCCAGCAGTGGACGGTACGACAAAAACTCACGTGCCCCTTTCCAGTCGGTATTGCCGGACCACGCCCCACCAAAGTCTTTCGGGTCAAACATCACCATACACGCCTGTGTTGTCTTGAGAACGGCGGAGGGAGGGTTTGCAAAGGAACGTAATTCGTTAATGTCGCTAGCCTGAATGGTGTCAAGCGCCGCCTTGGCCTTATCAATGATGGGCTTAGCCTCTGCCAGGCGAGCATTTGCCTCGTTGGCAATACACGAGGCATGCTTTTGCTGCTCCGCCGCACTCTCTTGCTGTGCCTTCACTTGCACTTGCACCTCGCTGGCCTTCGCCTGCCGCACTGAGAGGTCAACTACGACCTCCTCCGTCTCTTTGGATGCTTTTTCCAACAGAGGACGTTTGGTCTCAATTTCCTCCTTCATTTTGGCAATGGTTTCATCCGTTTCCCGCATCTTTTGTTTGCCGTTCACAACACGCGAGAGCTGCTCCTCAAGGAAATCGTGCCGCTCACTGTAAAGAGCCTTGTACAACTCAATAAACTCCAAGTAGGAGGTCGGGGTGATGTAGTAACGCCGTCGCAGCTCCTCCCAATACTCCTGCGCCACACTAATCACTGTGGTGTGAATATCCACACAAAGCGGTGCCAGCACCGGCAGGAGTTGGTTCGACGCACTGCCCTCGACGTCCTCAAAGAGTCGCTGTGCCACGCCGAGAAGGGCCTCCCTTGGCCACTCGTCAAACCAGTCAATGACGCAGCAGTTGGTGAGGGACGGAAACTGACGGCAGCGAGTACGGAACGTGTCACCGACGGGGCTCATGCAGAGGACAACGTGCATGTTGTCACGGACACGTGAAATAAAGAAGTTATACACGTCGTCACGATCGGTGACTCCGCGCTCACGGGCGGCCTCAAGGCAAGCGTTCACACGTTTGTCCTGCTCATCTGGCGTAAAGAGAGATGGCACCTCCCCAGAGTTGAGCATACTATTCACATCCTCTAGCATCCCCTCACACACAATTTGATTGTCGGAGATAAGGAAGACTGAGGGTTTGCAGTTAACACCGGTGGTGGTGTAGAGCTCCATTAGAAACTCGTGAAATTCGTTCATGGAATACCCCTTATCAACGGAGATTTCAAACGTCTTCCGCTCCGCAATGGAGGCAGCGAGACGCGTTAACGAGCGCTTACCCGAGCCGCCAACCCCCACTAAGAGAGCATTGCCGCGTGGCTGGCGCAGGACACGAATAATACGTACCAAGTGCTCGCAGTGGTCCTTGAAAAAGACAAGGTTTAGGAACGAGTTTCCACCGCCACCACCGCCATCCTCCTCATGACTAGCTCCCCCGCTCATGTATGCGTTGTAGTCGTCCTGGTACTCACTAAAAAGCCCAGGAAGTTTCTTAAAATCAGTCAACTCCTCATACGTCCTATCAATGACCCCAATGCGGAGGAAATCCGCCCACACAAGCGGATCTCCTTCAAAGTAATCCGCATGTGAGTGCTGGCCCCCAACAAAACGTGCCAAGGAGTCCATCACAAGCTCCTCAGTGAAGAACAAACGATCCTCCTGTGTCGCCAGACGATCGTAGAAGCAGCGTAAGAGTTCATGAATCCACAGACGGGTAGCGGAGCGCTGCACTTTACAGACACGTGGGGTGACCTGTGTGATACCCTGAAACACCTTTGCCAGGTCTCGCAGGTTAAACGTGTAATGCGGTGTCGTTGGCTTCGGTCGCATGGCGTCACGAACCTTATTAAATATGTCAACACTGGCGTTTACAAGCGCCTTTGCCATGCCCCGTACCTCTCCACTAAAGTTCTTTGCCTGGAAGAAGCCTTGCAAAATGGAGTGGAAAATACGCTTCATTGAATCGTCGTTAAGTGTCGGAATGTGAAGTAAATGGAAGAGTCGTGTAAGTCGCGCTGTTACGGGATTTCGTCCCCCTTCTGGTGGGCCACAGGCCGCTGCAACTGTGACATCCTGCACATGTTTCCATAATCCCGCAACCTTGCGGTCGTAAAAACCGCCATTCCCCATCATTTGCCGCAGCAACTCAATCGGCGGCGAGGCACCAAACATCTCAAGCGCAGGCATGTTCAGATCGTCGACGAAAAGCACCACCTTCCGCCCAGGCGGAGCCCCAAGAATGTTTTTGCGCTTGTGTTTCAGCTTCGACTCAATCAGCTCCTGCGTCCGATCAGAGGAGGTCTGGGCAGAGAACTGGAAGACAACAACCGACAGCTGCTGCTCTTCCTTGTGCCGCCGCAGGTAGTCCATCATGATGACGCTCTTACCCACCCCCGTTTGCCCGTTAAAGAGCAACGGCTTGCCGTAATGAATCAACATCTTCGCCAGATTGCTGTAGCGCACGGTGTCAATGGTCGGGACGAGAATGTCAAAGTAGGGCACCGTGAGGTCGTAGCGGAATTCATCCATACTCGTCTCCCACGGGATGAAGAGCCGCGTCGAAAAGTCAATCTTGTAGTCATACACGGATCTGCTATTTGGAAAGCGCACCACCGTCTCTAATAAATTTCGTGCCAGGGTGTCAAACTGGTCCATCGTCACCGCATCAACATTGCCACCGACAGACCATACAAAAGAAAAGGCAAAAAGTAATCCGCACACCTCATTACGCTCCTTGAAGACTTTGGAGTCAAAAGGCAACGTCGTCTCTCCCAGTGGGTCTGGCATAAGCGTCACCCCATTGGAGTGTATAAGAGCGGTGAAAAGATCGCACAAGGACTGAACCACATTCACCACACCGGCGCCAATGAGCACCTTCTGCTGTGCAAGCCAATCCAACCCCTTCTGCATGTACGCGTCGAAGAGGGAAAGAATGAAGCTACGACACTGCGGCTCACCACCCACGTCGGCAAGCTTCGATTCCGCCCAGCGATGCACCACGGCACTCCAGTGAAGGTCTGTGGCATCGAGGTACACCATGCCACACCGCGAGACCGTAGCGGGTGAGGCAACGGCGAGATCCGCCACCTCAAAGAGCATGTGAATTGTCTCAGGCAGTTTGATGCGCTCACCGCTGTCAAGACATAACAACTTGGAGTCGTCGAGAACAGAGTTCAAGGACTCAATCCACAGTGTGTCCACCGGTCCATCAAAGACAATCCAGCGATGATCTTTATTGAGCTCAGAGGCACTAACACAGTTCTTCGCAATCACCGACAAGACACCGTCGCGCCATTCATTCGTGTTAACATCTAACTGACCGTACAGCTCGGACAGTAGCACGGACTTGGGATTCATCACAAATTGGTGCACAGGTCGAGCCATGGGCTCACTTGACCCTGCCTCGGACATCGTCGCAAGGGCATCTGCGATGCAGTTTCGAACCTCCGTCTTACCAGTTCCCGTGACGCCGACCATCATGACACCGTGACGAACGATAAGTGTTTCATAAAACTGAACCCCCTTCGTCACCCACGTGTTGAGAGCCATCAGCTTCTTTGCTTCAATGCTCTTGTGCATGGCAGGTAACAATTCCACGTACTGCCGCTCAGGGAAGGTGGTACCGGTGAAAAGGTCCTGCATAATACCTCGGAAAAGCGGAAGATCCTCCGCGACAAATTTGGGCACATTCGAGTCATTACATGCAACAATAAGAGTGAGGTCTTCCTCTACATCCGGCTGTGATCTTTTTAAATCACCTGCCATGACAAGAATAGACTTGAGAGCGCGCATCCCAAAGTCATAGTGATCCTGCGGCGACAACTGCTCGGAGCTGAGCTTATACAACTGGGTGATCTTAAGTGAGAGGTCTTTGGCGTTCGTGAAACCCTCCGAGTAGAGAATCACCTCCGCAATCATACGGAAGTCAGGTGTCATGACAGCCACGGGTCGGAAAAGAATCTTCAGGTTATCTGGTAGTTCGGTACGCCCCGCATACCCAGGATTCATCGTGACAAAGGCACCGTAGGTGCGTCGCACTCGCACGTTAGGGGTCCCTTGGAACGTAAATGTTTCAAGCCCATTTTGCAGGGCAAGTTTAATTTCCAGCAGCTGCGAGGCAATCACAGACAACACCTCAATGTTGATCCGGTTAAACTCGTCCAGGCACGTCCACGCCCCTGTCTGGATAAGGCCGGAGAAAAACTTTTCCATCATTTTGTACGTCACACCATCAGAGCAGTTGTACACGATACACTGGCGGGCCAAATTCTTCGCCAAATCCTTTATTGTCTCGGTCTTTCCAGTCCCCGCAGGGCCCGCAGGCGCGGCGCCAAGGTTCAGCTTCAGCGCCCCAGTCACCGTCATGTAAATACGATCCGTAAGCGGGGTGATAACCAAACGGCCCTGCGCCCCCAAGTACTCGTAGCCATACACAAAACGTGAGTTGTTCTGTCGAATGAAAATGTTCCCGTACCCATCCTCGTCCTTCTCCCAATATACACGCAGTTGTTTTGTCCAGCCAAACTCCTTCGTCTCTAACACGCCATTGTCGCACATTTCATCCACCAAGTCACGGCCGTGCACGTCAATGGTAATGAGCGTAGAGAGAAGAATGCGCTGCACCTTCGACAACTGTTTTGCCGTCAAACCTGCGAGCTCCTCCAGTGCCTTGTAGCTTTCCTCCCGAAGGGCCAACATGAGACGATCCGAGTCCGGCCTCCCAAGCGCCTTCTCCACCCCGCGCGTCCAGAGCAGCTGCTCTATGATGAGAACCAGTTGAGTGGGGTGTCGAAACATCCAGAGGGTGCGATCACCGACCGCCTCGTAGTCACTCAGGCACGTATTTGCATGTTTACGGAGCGTTGAGAACATCTCACGTTCCAGCATGTCAATCCACATTTCCACCGGGCCGCGTGCCTTGATGCCCTTGTTAATCAACTCCACCCGTTCCCCCTCCATTGACACAAGGTGTGTGATGTCGTTGGACTCCGAGAAGGACAAAGTCTTGATGCCGTCAAACATCTTCAACATGTGCGGCATAATTAACTCCGGGGTTTTGACCTTGGCAAGAATGTCCAGCAGATCATCGTTGCTAAGAAAGTAAAAGCGCGGGAAGGCGCATCGCTTCTTCTCCAGCTTGCGCTCCAAGCTCGCCAAAACCTTTTCCAGCTCCTTGATGTTATTTTCAAGGTCTACCTTGAGCGTCTTGGTGCTGGTGGAGTCGCCTGTCTCCACCGGTGCGTTGATGAGCAGCCCACGGTAGGCAGTGGGCATGTCATGCGCCTTCCGCATCAAATCTCGGAAGAAGCGATCCACCTTTTCAAAGCGTTTTGCATCGTCTTTCCATTGACTGCGAATCTCCGCCGAGGAAAATATGCTTTCGAGGTAAATCCAGTTGCGTTGAAGTTCCACCCATCGATCAAGTGTCTCCTGCATGTACCTAAGACGGTGCTCCCAGCGATCCACCTGCGCACGTAAAACACCTTGGCAACAGCGGCTCGATCCTATCGTCGACATGGCGATGACGGAGTCTTCAAGCAACGCCGTGACATCCTCGACGGAGGAGCCGATAAGCGTGTACAGGTCCTTGACATCCTTGTGGTTGTGGAACTGGAACTCCATCGCCGGCTTTGGACCGCCGCCGTTCCAGAGAGCGTTAACCTTGTCAATCTGCTGCTGCAACTTGTCCTCCTCCGTCGCCGCCGCACTGATGGCCACAATATCGTCCTTGAACCTCACAACGTTGTTCGAAAGAAGCATGCCGAGCGTAAACTGGTTATTCCAATCTGCAAGGGTTCTGAAAGTGCCATTCTCATCCTGCACCAGTCCCACCAGGTGAGACACCTTGGCCGCGTGTTCCAGCCTCATCTTGGGGTTAGTGAGGGCCTGCACGATGGGCATGATAACACGCCAATCCTCCACTTTGGACTTCAACATCGACACCGCCGCGTTGCCCGGCAACTTCGATGACACCTGCTTGACGGTTGTCACGTACTTCTGCACCGTATCCTGCACCGCCGGCACGTCGAGTTGCTCAAACGGAATCACCGCCTGCTCCTCCGTAAACACGTCCCAGTCTCGCAGCCCCACCCACAGCCGTGCCTTGATGTTCACATCGTTTAGCATTTCTGTCATGGACTCCACCGTCGTCTCTTCGCTTCCAATAACAATCTGAAACTGACGGAGTTCCTTCTCCCGCGCGGCAATGCCCTCCGCCTCCGTCTGCAGCTTCGTGATGTACTCAATCACCGTATCCACGTCCGCCTTGTCATCCGCGACAATGGGCTTCCCGGCGCGGTCATACACGTCCTCAATGCGGTGGCGAAGCGCCTCCATCTGCTCATCCACGTTGCGGATAAACAGACGCTGCTGTGCGTCCTTGCCATCCTCAACAATCTGCATCAAGGTCCGCAGCTTCTCAAACTGGGGCCGCGTTCCACTCCGGTAGGTTTCCTCCAGGTCCTCGTCAATCTGAACCCTTTCCTCCTGAAGCAAGTTAAACAGTTCACGGATAAAATCGTACGAGGCGGCAATGCTGTCAAAGCGTGCTTCTAATGCCTTGTAATAGGCAAGATACTCTACATAGTGCTCCACCGTCTTGGGGTGGGCAGAAAGGTATACGTTACAACTCTGCAAATCTGTCAAAAGCAGCTCGTTCTGCTGTTGTGCAATGACGGGAAGAAGTTGATGGAACGCCTCAAGGCAGTCCAGAGGGCTTGGACTGAAGAAGTCTCGCAGACTCTCGGTGTAGACAGTAAACAGTGCCACATCCTTGGAATTGGGGATCTTACTCGTGATGGCCTCACTTTGAGCCTTGTAGAGGACGAGGCGCTCCCGAAAGAATTCCAGACTCATACTACTTTGCTGCAATTCATTGACGTCAAGGTGCGAGTTCTCCACGTACATGTCCCTAAAGCACTGAAAGGTGTTTACGTACTCCTCCACAACACCGTAGGCCTTTCCAATGTCCTCACGTATGGACACCATATGTTGCTTGTACGCCTCCTCCGAGACTATCATCTCACTAACGGCAGGACCAGAAGAAAGCTCCTTCTGAGTATCGTCTGCAGCATACTCCGTAAACACCTTGAATGTATCCATTAACACCAGTCGTGGGACCGCGCTCAAGGTTTTGATGTAATCCTTCACAATATCCTCTACACACTCCACAATATGCGGAAGGGTAGGCGTGATGCCTATGGTCTCATCGCTATCATTGTACAGGATACTCAGACTCAAAATAGGTCCATCAAAATGTGTTTGTGCCTTATGCGTCTCTGCCTTAATATGAACGTCCTGTCGCCGTGACTTTGTGATGGAATGCGAGGTACATCGTTTCAAAGCTCCCGCCGCAGATGCGGATTTGGGGTAGCAGAAGTCGTGATACACATCCTGCACCGCCCTTGCAGCCAAATTTGTCAAGCAGTGAATGATAATGTAGTCGCATAAACGAATGAATGCTGTGAGGCGCTGGCAGACAGCCTTTTTTTGCGACATTTCAATATACGTAGGCTTCTGTTGCGTGCCCAATTCGCGAACATCAATAAGTTTCTTCTTTTTCTTCTCATCCTCGGGATGAAGGCCACTCACACTCTCGCGCTCCATCTGTGCAGCCAGCATTGCCGCCTTGCACGCACGCTCCACGGTGTCTCGAATCCCTTTAAGCATCTTTTCCAAGCGATTACGTTGAAAATTCAAATGCGCAGCCGATGCGGCACAAAAGGCCTCCAATGTACGTGTCTCCGTTGCTGCGAGATGCATTCTGTTGTTGTTAAGGCAGTCCAAGCACATTCGCCACACCGTCCGCAGCGCGACAGAGAGGTGCGGATGCACATGAAAGAGATTCCGTGTAAGGAATGTCTTACAATTTGAGATGGCGCGGTTACGGACAAGTCCTCGCCAGAGGAGAAAGCTTTTCCACTTCTTGTAGTCCCGAAAGACCTCCAGCTGGCTCAACTGGTTAAAGATGCGACAATCACGCTCCCAGGTATGCAACTCGATAAATTCAGCCTCATGCCCAGTAAATTTCGTAACGCCTGCCGCAGAAAGGGTGTAATAGTGTGTGGGATCAATGTCCTTGTGCGACACCACCTGCAGTTCGTACGGATTGTACGGATCGCGGATTCCCCTCGGTCGCATGACAAGGTATGTAAACTCATTCGGTGCATTCGACCGCACCTTTGTGAAGCGTGGGATAGCGCCTCCCCGCACCTGTGTCATCCTCCTTTCTCCCCCGTCCGTCTTCTCCCTCTCATTCTGCCTTTGCATGCTGATGGTGGCGGGGGGCTTCGGTCGAATGGAAGTGGACGGCGCCTGTTTCAGAGAGAAGGTCGCCGCCTTATTCTCAGCGTGACTGGCGGCAAAAATGCGCCGAAGTTCCTGATCTTGGTAGTTGGGTTGGTGGTACAACTGGAGGGTGCGGTTCTGCGGGGACGGCGATCGTGACGACAGGGTCTCCTCGCGGAGTGTCCCCGGACCGCTCCTACACGTCACAGATGCCTCAACTTCTGTTCGGCCGTGCAGCAACGCAGGCGTCCACGGCACGTCCTGCGCCAGGCGGTTCGGCACGCCAAGCCGGCCCCCGCTGGAGAAGCCGTCGCTGTACAGCCGGCCCAGCAATGGATTCTCGCCACACTGCGCATCGTACACGTCCTTCGCGACGTGGTTGGGGTTGCGGTGCACCAACTCCTTCTTCTGCACCTGCGGCGTCGGCTGAAAGCGCGCAGCCCCACTGCTCCCAGGCCCGATGTCCATTCTTCTTCGTCTTTACTTCCTCCTCGTCTTTGTGTTTACTGTTGTTGCTTCCTCTATTCCTTCCTCCTGTTTCTCCTTCTCCCTCTTCTTGGCCTCAGAGAGACGCACAAACCTACAGAGCGGGGGGCGAGAGAGAGAGAGAAGGAAGGAAAGAAAGAAAAAGGGGAGTAAACCGGCGGGCAGTGAGCAAAGGAGAAGACCTCCCCCCCCCCTGTGCGTGAGCGCAGCCACAGCAAACATGTGGACTCAGAAAACAAATGCATACTTTGTTGTTGCCATCACTTTTGTTATTCTTGCTTGAATTGTTTGCATGGAGAGAAACAACACGCACACACACACACATAAATATATATGTACCCCTGCTGGTTGGGGGTTACTTCCTTCTTTCGTTATTTTTTTTTTCTGTGTGTGTGGATGGGAAAAGAAGGATAAAAAGAAGAGGGAGACGGAGAAGCAGGGCGCAAGTGAGGGGAGAGGAAGAAAAACAATAAAAAAAAAAAAAAAGAAACCCGTGCGCCCCAAAGTCATACTGCAATGTACATGTCACGCGTTTCAGAGACGAGGAAGTTTTAGAATGAATTGTCGGGTCCTTGTATACTCCGATCCTTCTTATTCCCCTCCACCCCGTCTCGCTCCACTCCCGCTCCCCTGCCTGCACACACACACACACACAGAAGAAAACAGGCAACTACCGGCTACACTGCCGTCATTGTACATATTTCATTCATCTCGGCGAGTAAGGCATCAATGATCGCCATGCGCTGCGTCTCCTCGCAGGACTCGAGGTAACGGAACTCGGCCCCGAACGCAAGACTCACCTCGTCGTAGTGACGCGCCGAAATGGGATGCGACACCGAGTCCAGGAACCCCGTGCGGCCGTTATGCCGCATGACGCCACGCGCAATGAGATCACGCTGCACCGTCTCGCCCAACTTCAAGTACAGGTGTGAGATCTCCTCCTCGTCCTGTGTCTCCCGCCGCAGCGTGCTACAGCAGTGCCACAGCGGGTGGTAGAGTCTCACGTCCAACGTGTGAGGCACGTTTTCCTCCCGATAGCGTCGCATCGCCGCTGGTGACCGCCCCTTGCCAAAGGCGCGGCGCCACAAGTCCTCGATGGCCTCCACCTGCTTAATCGAGCAGACCTCAAGAAATGGGAGCGACTCACTCATCCAGACGTTCTCAACTTCCTTCCGAGCAAGGCGCTCGGTGTTGAAGAAGTCCATCATCCACAAGGATGAGTGACGTCGGAACTCCCCTGTAATGCGGCGGTAGAATTCGCTCTCGATATCCTCAATATCAGCTCGGGCAAGCGCCTCACGGTGCAGGAGGACATCCAACGGTTGCAAAGATTCATGCCTCCACAAAGGTCCACCCTTCGCGTCCTCCTCCTTACGCTTGACCACACGCGCATAAAGTGCCTCATCAATTTCGGTGCAGTCAAGCTCTTCGCCCATGCATTCTCGATCCCGCTGCGTGCCAGCCAAGCTCCCGGCGTTCATGCTGCTGCTACAGTACATGCTCAAGTCGTTTTCGTCCACCACCTGCTTCTGCGCCTGGGATGGCGCCGGTGGCAGACGCGAGGAGATGCGATTCAGCGTCAGCTCGTAATCACGTTTTGCCACATGATAGGCGGACTGACTGTCCTCTTCTCGATTTAGCGCGACACGGTTCACCACCTCGTGTGACACGGTGAACATGGCACTCACCTGGCTGTAGTGCGACGTCAGCATCTCTCCCCACAGCAACTCCCCTCCCCTTTTTGTCTGTGCGCCGTACCCTTTGAAGTCTCGAAATCCGCGGCCCCACTACCAACCGCCGTTAGTTTTCCTCTGCTTTTTTATTGGGCTTTTTTTTTGTTTCTTCCTCTTCTTCTCTGCACCGAAATGCGACTGCCCCGTTCGCCCAAACCTGTGTTGCCCTTCACTTCTGGAGCCTGGAATAAGAAAGAAGCCGCGGCAGCACAGCAGAGGAGGAGGAAAAATACAATGCCACGCCCGCCATCGCAGTCACGCGAATGGAAAGGGGCCAAAAGAAACAGACACCGTCGTCAAACCATGTCGCACGCCCCTCGCCTCTCTCCTCACACGCCGCGTACAAAAAACGTTCGGCAACAGTGCAGGAAACAAGTATATATATATATATGAAAGAATGATGACAGACGGACGCGCCCAGGGAGAAGACTAAAAAAAAAAGAACAACACGCAAAGCACATTACCCCCGTGACCCTTACTCCCTCTGTGCTTTTTTTTTGTTTTCCCCCTCTTCTTCTCATGCATTCACCCCCATCATGACAGCGCAAACAAAAAAAAGGGGGAACGTCGTAGTCACGCGTCTTGCCCAATACGTCATGTGCCGACAGCGCTGGGGGCGACGCTGACGCCTTGAGGGTCCGTGGAAAAACTGGCGGCGTTCATCACCTGCTGCTCCTTCTGCGGGGTTCCACATGACGCCGTGTGACGCTCTGTGGGAAGAATGCTCCGAAGGCTCTCAATACTCCCCCGCATACCATTCTCTAAAAGGCGCTGTGCATCGTTGCCCAGAAGCTCCCGTATGCACACCAGTACATGCGCGTAAAAATCATTAACAAAGGCCTCCACAAAGAGCAGGTACACCTGCTTCTCGCCCCCCTCCATGGCCATTAAAAGTTCCTTGTCCCGCGCAAGGTCCTTCGCCACCGTCTGCAGCAGTCCCTCAACCTTGGAGACGCAAAACAGCTTCACACCAGGAACCACACACTTGCGAATTGTATTAAACGCAGTAAGCAGCCCGTTCAAAGCATACGCAAGCGGCAGCCACTGCAGAAGGCTCAATGGGGGTGACATGCTTGAATTCGACGATGACGTCGGCTCTGCTCGTTTTAGTGAAGAACTCCACTGCGGCCCAGTTGAAGTTCGCCACGAAAACGTCGCCATGGAAGCGGTGTAGGATTGCATAGAAAGGGCAATCTGCTCAGCAAAAAGCGTCTTCACACGAGAGATGAGAGACTCGTTAAGGAGCCCTGAAACATCCATGTGCAGCAGTGTCGCGGTGGCGCTGCAGCTGTTGCATTCCTCTATGACGGAGGACAATTCGGAGCCGTTGGTGATTTTATCCAGCGAGGCACGGAAGCCATCGAGAAAGACGTACACCCTCTGATGACACCAGGCAACAAGTTCGCTGCACGCCCCACCCTCGACCGTTGGGGAGAAGCAGGCGGTGTACTGCATGATCGCCTCGCTCACGTGCACCTTAAAGGCCGCCACGTACCTAAAAATGCGCGAGTACGCCACCTCGCTTTCCTCTGCCTCACGCAGAAAGCCATCCACGTACTCCGCCCGCTTCCAGAGGAAAAGTCGGCGTATCTGGCTTTCATCGACGCCGAGTCTGCGCAAGAAGGTTGTCACCTTCACAGCGGAGGCGACAGTTAGCTGCTGCGCCAAACGGGGGAAAACCACCTCCGAGAGTGCCCGCTCCAAGTTGCAGCGCACCTCCACCTCGACGCGGCGAAATAACTCCACCTCTGCCATGGGCTGGGAGGATCGTGTTATGTGTTCCAGTACCATGAGGGCCTCGTGGTACATCTCGTTCCGGATGCAATCATCAAACACGGCAGGAGCCTCCAAAAAAGCAAGCAACTTCTGGTGCTGCGCCACCGTGCCCAGTGCGATCTGCTTCTCCCTGCGCCACTGCTGGCCCACTCTCGTCATCGCCTGGCTGAGCGTCTGTAGCTTGCCGAGCGAGTCGTTGAGCCGCTTCACGCACGACAACGCGCTCCCCGACGCGGCGGCCACCTTTGCGTTCACCTCCTGAGTCCCCGAGAGGAGAGAGTAGTGCTCCACCGCCGCCTCCACGATACCGCGGCGGACCCCCTCTTCATCACTCATGCTCGTCTCCATAGACGACACTAACTAATTCCCCAATCAAATACGCTGCAGCCGCAACATCAAAATCCACAACCACAACAAAAAGGCAAAAAAAAAAAACACGCGACGCAACGGCATTGGAAGTGGAATACAAAGACAGAAACATCCAACTCTGCCCACGCTTTCATCCAAAGATGTGCTGCAAAACATCCCGTCGCTGCGCCTCCTCAGTGCCCCCATGCAGAAATGAAGTGTAAACAGCAGTGGCACGCATACACACACTTGTTTCTGGCCCCAATGAACCCTTCCACAACGTGAGGCCCCACAAAGTAAAAAAACTACAACAAGACACACTCGTCCTTTTCAGATCTTCCACACTTCTCTCTCTCTCTGTGTGTGCAACCGAGAGAGAGATATGTGTCATCCTCTTCTGTGTAAGAAAACAAGGTCTCGCACCCCTTCCACAGCGAGCAGCTTGTCGCTGCGTTCCACCTCACCACTCTTCAAAATACGTCGGCAGTTTGTGCGCTAGTTCGTCAAGATTTGCACGCCAGGAGTCTTTGTCGTTGTTGTTGTCGTCGTTGTCTTGGGTGTCAACAACCACAACTTCTAAGCTTTCGCCGCAGCTGACAACTTCCCTGACAGCCGTGCGTCCCCGCTCTTCCTCCAAATCCATGAGCGTCAAAACGGTCTTGCGTGTTTCCACCGCCCCTGCCACAGATTCATTTCCTGGCGACGTCTCTGCCTCGGCTTCTGTAACGGCAGCAGCTGCCACCGCTGTGCCCGCCGCCTCCACACATGGGGGTGCACCAGAGAAGGAGAAAGTGTGCACCTCCTCCACCGCAATCAAGTCACACGGCGAGAGCACACTCCCTCGCTCTATATTCTTCAGCCCCTCGCTTCCGTCCTTGTCTGCTGTATCCCCAGAAATGCTGTCGTCTCTCACATTTTTGCCGTCAGCCACCCCTACACATTTGGACAAGCGCGAGGGGCCATTCTGCCCCAGCGAGGCCTCCATCTCGCCACCTTTCAAAACCTTCGGCCCTCCTACATGACTCGTGGGAGTTCCACACGGTTTGCTGCTGCTGCCTCCCAACAAAGACTCCAAGGCTTCGCCATGAGCGCGCTGGGCAGCACGCAAAATGCCTGTCACCGCGGGCGTACTCCTAGTTAGTGGAGGATACGAAAACGCCGGCAGGCTGTCCCATAAAGCCGCAAGGCGGTGAAACCCACCACCATCTTTTCCTGTCCCCACAGAGGTGGGTTCAGTTTGTTTTGTGTGTACGGGAACGTCGCTTCCCAACTTTTTAAAAACATGTGTCTTCCGCGGAGCAGGACTCGACGGGGTGCGCAGTGACTGCCTCCAAGCAGAGCGTTGCCCAACTAACGGATCCCCCCTGACGGGATATGAAGCCGTCGCAACGGTAGAACTTATCTTGGCCTTTGCCATCATGGCAGCAGGAGTGAGGTGATCTCTTGCTAGGCGTCTCGTTAGCGACTGCTCGGGCTGCACCTCGATGAGCTCCAGCGTGTGTGTACGAAGAGCCGTGACAGGTGAGGCCCGCGCCACAATGATGCCGTCCTCCGTGCGCAACGCCACGCGTGATGGTTGTAGGTGCCGAAATACACCACGGCAAGCCTCTATGACACTCTCCGCCGTTCCGTCCAGTGGGACGTGAATCCCTAGCGCCTCCTCGTCGCCCGTGCCGCCACGTTTCACCCAAACCTTCAGGGCCATGGGGGTATGCCACTCCCTTGGCACACGCCGAAACGAGGTGCAGGTAAGAAAAAAGGGAGGCAGACAAACATGACGGCAGATGCACGGCACATAATTACAGAGCGAAAAGAAGCGAGGATACACTCACAAGATGAAAAAGGCAATAACAATAAAACAAATAAGTAATATAGAAAGATGGTGAGGGACTCAAAAACAGCCTCGTAAAACTCATGTTTATCCATCCCTATCACTCACTCCATGTGATTTTTCTTGTGGCTAAATACATTATCGCCATCTTTCGCCACCACCATAAAAATTGGTGTACTACAAACTAAACCATGTCGTTTGCAATGAAAGGGGCACGCAGCGTCTTTGGCAGGACACGCACGCAGGGCAAATCAAGCCTGTCTGCCCCCACCATTACCTCCATGACATCGTTCTGTAGCCCGTTTTGCAACACCCGCAGTGTTGAGGAAGTTTTGATTGGCGTAATAAAAAAAGGGAACTCAGCCTCGTCTCCCCCAATGCGCGGGGTATCATGGAGAATAAATCTCTTTAAGATAACGATATCACCTTCCTCAATAAAGGAAGCCGCGAGAGCCCAGTCGCCGTAAAAATAGAGGTGCGCGTAGTCCACTTCGCAGTGTTCCTTGTGGTCTCCGTCAAGTAGTCTTCCGCCCAGGTTAAAAAGCCGCTCTGAGTGGAACTCACGGAGTCGCGACGCACAGACCTTCTCCGCCCGGCACATGAGCGTCTTCTCACTATGCGGCACTCCACGTGGCAGCATGGCTAACTCGGATAGCGCCACATAAATCTCCAAATTCATCACCCCACCACTACCACTGCACACAAGCGCAGAGCTTGAGTCACCCTTCCAATTGTCTTCTGCTTCCTTTTTGTTTTGTCTGCAGAGCGCTCGTCTCGCCCAAAGACAAGAACGCCGTGCGCTACGCATAAAAAAAAAAAAATGAACGGACGAAGGGCTGCAGCGCAAAGAAAACAAGGGGCGGGTGAGAAGAGAACTCAGGGCGCCGCTTGCTGAGGAAGAGAGGGGCATTAACCAAGTGGGAAAGGATGAGAGACACCACAGCACCCTCAACTGCGGCTGCGTTCTCAGCATTTTAAAAGAAAACGAGAAAAAAATGAAAAGTTAGGGAGTGCCACCATATTTTTTTTCCTCTATGCCTTTTATTGAATTAGTCATTTGGGCACGGCGGGGTGGGAGTAGGCGCACAGCGACACCGGTGGGAACAGCAACGGCGTCCACTCGGGTGTTCACCCCCCCCCCTACGCATCTCCGCACACCACACGGCAACAGTCCCATAGCGGATTCAAACACATACCACTAACACCATCATCAAACTATTTCTTCTATGACGTTTTTCTTAAGGACAGAGACACCACGACCTTCATTCTTTTCGTCATCGAACTCCAGAAAAAAAAAGAAAAATAGACGGTGCAAACAAATATATTTATCACCAATATATGATATGAATATGTTATATATATATATATATATATATTCATATACATATATCCTCTTTTTCCCACCACCGCCGCACTGATTTGCATCCCTCTGCGTCTGTGTACGTGCCCCAGTGGTGCACACCCATACACGCACAATACAAATTAAGGAGCAAAGGAAATATGTGTCGCTCCCTTACCGCGTGCCTTTCTGTCACTTACCCCTTCATTCATTTACGGAGAGCTTAGAATCCCTCAGCCGCCACTACGGACGCCGCAACAAATTCTACTGTAGACCTTCAAGCACCGCGTAGGCAAGTGGGACCATCCAGGTGACAAGGCAGAAAAAGAACAGAAGTGTAATGAGGGTGCCACAGAAAAGGAAATCTTTTGCTTTGAGGTACGGCCGACCCGACGAATCTTCCGCGAGGAGTGAATTGACGTTCGGGAAGGAGCTAATAGGGAAGGCCATGGCACCAGAACACATCAAGGCACTTAGTAGAACGAGAGTCTCGGGAGTAACGGCAAAAATGCCCTCTTGCGTGGGGAGCAGGAAGCCTATTTTGGCAATGATAGGCAGCAATATCATGGCAGTGACGGTGTGCGAGACAAATGTGGTCACAAGAGCCACCACAGCCATGATGAGCACAAGCGTCAAATAAGGGGACTGACTGTGCAGCGTCTCATGCAGGTTGTTGGCAAGAATATCCAGCATCTTTGAATCGTGTGCGCAGAGGCCCAACATGTTGCCTCCAGCCAGGAGGAACATCAGGTGCCACGACAGTGTGTTGAAGTCCTCTTTGGCAAGAATGCCTGTGCCAAAGAAAACGACAATAGGGATTAATGCCACCACGCCCGTATCACCAAAGAGAACTTCAGGTGAAATAACCCAGAGGATGATGGTTATCAGAGATACAACCACAACTAAAACACGATCTGCAACGCTGGGGTCTTTCCCCGGCTCCGTACTAACTACTTGCAGAGGAATTCCCTTCACATCCTTAAACGGCTTCCACACTACAAGAATAATGGCCCACGCTGCAATAATGCTAAACAGTACTATAGGAAGCGCAACTGCAACCCACGCTGCAAATGACACATTACGAAAACGTAACACAGACATCGCTACTGCATTTTGTGGTGAGGCAATGGGAGATAGCATGCCACCGATGTTGCATGCAAAAGCCAACCCAAGAAGAATACCGTGAGGCGCCTCTGTGTCCTCAGGAAATTCCCATAAGGTTTGCTGAATGACACCCAACACAAGTAACGGAGCCGCAACATTTGAAACGAATGCACACAAAACGCTACTCATCAGCATTACACCCAAAAGGTAAAGAGTAGGCCGATGAGCTGTAAGGCGAAAAAGCGCTGTCGCAGCGTAGGCCTCCAGGTTTGTGCGTGACAAGGCCTTTCCAATTGTTAGGCCGCCAAGTACAAGAATCTGAACATGATCCATGACCTTCCCAAGTATGATAACAGAGGCCACGGAAGATGTAGCAACTTCGTGCGTCTGCGGATCGGCAATGATACGAAGAGGGACGGCCACAATTGGAATAAGCATCGCCGTACAAAAAAATGGAATTGCCTCAGTAATCCACAGGGATACAATTAGGCCGAAGAGTGCTACGCAGTTGTGTGCCGGTGGATGCTCCGTTAGAATTGGAAGAAACATAAGAATACAAAACAAGGCGGCCGCCAGGAACACATATCTCCACTTCGCGTGATATGCCTGCTCCATCACCACATTTTTATACTGATCCAGCGAATCCCCAAACTTACGTTCATAATCCGTGTCAATATCTACCATCAAAGAGCGCAAGCGGGGCATAAGCGTCACCAGACTAGAACGGCTGAGTTCTGCCTCAACGGCAAGTGTAAAATTTCCTTCACAATGTCGATGTTTCTTGAGCTTCTTTGCCGCCTTACGTATGGCTTCCAGATTTAACTCTGCAAAGTGCTGAAGCTTGTACGCACTCGAATGCCACTCCGCAAACTTGGCTCTTGGGGCATGCTCATCAAACTCCCGCTTCTGAGAATCCCCAATAATGAACAAAAAAAATTTTGGACGACGGCAGGAATACATCGTCTCCGCGTCACCGCGGTCTCCGCCACGGAACTTGCCCTGGAGCTGTCAAACGTCTCCGAGTCTCCACTCTCGTTTGCAGAACGCACGCCACGGTGAAGACGCTTCCGATAAAATCGGCCAGGGGTTATTGGGTGAATAAGTGGCATGTTCGGATCCTGCTCAAGTAACTCGTCATGGCTTTGTTGTAGCTGCTCCAGTAGCTCCTTAAACAAAGTCTCAGCCTTCTCCAGCTCCTCCGCCACCATGGTAAAAAAATCACGACTGAACTCAACTCCACTCAACTCTGAGTGGGAGATGAACCGCTTGAGTGCCTTGTAGTTGACGTAGGAGTCACCCCACTGCTCCACCATCTCCTCCTGAAGACGTTTTCCAAACTTCATTGCGCCGGCTCCGTCCTATCGTTTGTTTCTACTTCGTGTTATTTCTCTGTTCCTATGTATACGTGTATGCAGTTATCTAGATGGATGGGTCGATGGATGGATATAGATACGGGGCAATTCATACAAACAGACAATGCAACTGTAGTCCCTCACTTTTATTCTCATTTTGTTTTTGTTTTTATTATTCGTTAAATGGGCAGGTTGCACAATGTACTCTGCATTTCAAGTGGGGTGGCGTGCACTCACACAAGGGGAAAAGAAGAAGAAAGGAGAATAACACCTCTGAAAACCAACAAAAAAATAAATAAATTATTAATAATAATAATAATAATAATATATATATATATATATATATGATACTTACGGTAAGAAGAAATAAAATAAATAAATAAATAAATTGCGCGCCACATCATGAATAATCAACATTTTGCTCATCGTCGTGGGCGCGTTGTTTTTTCTTTTGTTGTTGTTGTATTTTATTTTTTTCTTTCCCTTCGTTTCTTCACCTGCATTCGTTATTACCAGCGGCACTCCGCGTAGCTAAGAGATATAAAGATACAGCAAAACAAAATGAAAAAAATGAAAAAGATGCCCCCGCCCGCCGTCTTGCCTCGACACCACCTGCCGAATGAGGCGCGCGGTCAAGCTGCCACACACAGTTCCTGCCGAGAAATACAAAAAGGGAGGCACTGTCATCAGTCGTCGCCGGCGAAGGTGGTAGGAAGAGGCTCTAGGAAGAGTGACGTGCGCCGCCGGCGTGGGTCATGGATCCTCTCAAGTGACTTTTTCTCCTCGCGGAGACGGGAAAGATAAATGACAGGTTTCCGCAGTACCGCCTCAAACCATTTCAGCCATCGGATGCGGTTCAGAAACCCACTGGCATGAAGTTCAATCGTTTCCGTGACGACAAAGTCATTGGAGCCTTCTGGCGGCGACGTCGCCCATGCCAACTGCAAGTTGTTGGGCTGGCTGTGGAAGAGACTCAGGAGAGATTTCGGACTTCCGCTCGTGACCTCTGCCGTCTGCTCGAGGAAAAAAGCGTGTCCAAAGTGCTCCTCCTCCACCATCACACGCAGCTGCCCAATTGGAACCTTGTACTTCGCAACCCTCCGAACACGCTGCGACACGGTGGTTGGGTGCATGACAAGGTACTCTTCCTCCTCCTCCAACGTATGCCCAGCCGACGCCGAACGTCTTTTGTTCTTCTTGTAGGCAAACCGTCGTGTCTCAAAGTGGTTCTCGCCAAGGTCAATGCGAAGAATGCCTCCACATGGAACGTCCCTCGGATCCACGACCTCCACCTCTTGCGTTCGATCAGCGTCCTCCCGACTCACAAAGGACAAAAAAAAGTCGATATAACGCTCAATAACGGCGGGTGCTGGCTTTTGCCGCATCAGCCGTGCACTTTCCTCAGTGAGCTTCCTCATCTCCGAGTCGCAGAGACAAACCCCACCGCCCGTTCGAACTGAATCTAGCAAAAATGTGGCGTAAAACTTCTCGAGGCAATTCAGCCACAAATCACGTTCTCTTGGCGAGACAAACCGCATTTCGACCTTCCGAAAAATGTCCTTTGCCAGCGGGAATGCGGCAAGCGTTTCCTTAAAAATCAGCTGCAACCCAACCTCGCCACTAGCGCTGACAAACGACGAGGAGGTGGGTGGGGACGTAATACCCAAGTCAGTGTTCTTCGTTCTCCTGCTACTCTCCGTGGCATACGTGGGGTGGAAGGTCTCTGGCAACATTTTGAACAGGAAGGCATTCTTTTCAGGGACTGAGAAGGTGGAGACATCCATCAGCATCGTAAGAGGATAGCTCACAATGACGTCCCCGAGCTCTTGAACCGCCTCGCCAGCACCTACTCCCTTCGGCAAATGCCGCACGACAAACGTTACTGTGTGCGCTGCTGCCTCCTCAATAGTGATGTGGCGTTCTTCTGGGGAGGGAGCCACTTTGGAGACAAGGCACGAAGTCACTGAGAGAAGCGAGCGCCCTAATGAAAATTTTGGCGACTTCTTCGCTGGAGACGACGAGGTGGAAACATTGGGATCGCTGTAGTTCCCAGCATCCATGACACGCACGGCAACATGCGCTCTCAACTCCCGAAGCAGCTGAAACTGCGCTAAAGGCTCCGCGCAACTCGGCTGTTGTCGTTCAATAAGCGACGGTGGCGACAGTGGCGGTGTGTCAAAACTTGGGCTTTTCAGCCTGAGCGATGCTTCTGTGGAGGCCATGCAAAAAGCCTCCTCCTTTACACAAGAAAGGCACACAAAGAGAAGCCACCCGCCACCCCCACCCACCAGAAAAAAAAAAAGGACTGAATGATTTCATTCAAGACTAGCCGCATGACTAATAATAATAATAACAGTTCAAGTGCTTCTGAAGAGGAGCCCCTCAAAATCAGCGATGAGAACCGGTGTCCTTCCCCGCTTTTACTCCAAGTTATCAGCGCAGCTCGCGCACACAGAAAATCATTAAAAATAAAAAAAGTGAGTGCAAGGATCAAACATGTCTCTCACCAAAAAGGATGCAAAATGGAAACCTCACGTCTCGAGAACAGAAGATGCCGAAGAGCCCCCTCCGTACGGATTGTGACGCCATACAATGCCAAGAGATGTTGAGTTGTAGGAACGGGACATTGCGGGTGATGCACCCATTTTAGGGGAACATGAAAGTGACACCATTTCAGTTGCCGGCGGCCGACAAAAAAAATTCCCACTACTGGAAAGAAGCTGCAGTGGACTTATACCCATAGAAATATCCGCTTCCGCCGTCAGTGTCACAAGTTTGGTGTTGGAACGCGGGGGTGAGCAGCAGGTGGCAAAGACCCCCACGGGGGATGGTTGTGTTGTTTGCAACGCCTCTTCTTTGCTTTTGCACTCGTCTTTCGGCTCCTTTTTACGCCCATTTACTTGCTTGACAAGCTCTCGGCATAAGTGGACATAATTGCATTCGTGACCAAAACGACAGCATGGACTCGAAGAATGCAGACGACAAAGCGAGTCCACTGGCACCAAGACGGACGTTGGGTTATTCGTTTCGCCCTCTGCAACCCGCTTCTGTACGAGTAATCGGAATCCTTTGGTCATGGTCAGGTGCGCTGACGTTGTTTTAAGGAGTTCCCCGACGTCCTCGCCCCCAACTACAACAACTTCCAGGTTAGCCGCAGCACCCTCTGCGTCACTTCTTGCGCCATGATAGGTACAGCACGTCGGTTCCTGTAGTGCAGCCTCGCGGAGCTGCCCGACAACACTGACTTCAGCGTGTGCCTGATGACAAGCGTTTCCTTGACGGCAGCGGCCTTCCATGTGAAGACGGCACAGAGACGGTACCCCAGGCCTGTGAATTGCGAGCGTATCACACATAGAAGACTGTGGAACAAAGAGCATTCTGCTAAACGGATCAATTACTGCAAAAGTTCCCCACGGGGCATCTCCTGCACTGAGGAGATGCCTCGGAGGTCTGGGTTTTCTTCCCATACTCTAAAAACAAAACTTCTACGGCAAGACAGTGAAAAAAAAAAAAAAACAACAACAACAACACCCACGTATCGTTTTGCATACGTGGACTCGTAGTATAAAGACAAAGACCACAGAAAAGATTTAAAGAAAAAAAAAAAAAGGGGGGGGGGGGGGGGTAACAAAATATAACGTGCATTATTTCTTGTGCCTTCTTGAATGCTTGAGAAAACCTCAAGTAACCGACAAAAAGAGGCCCGCCTCTACACCGGCTGCAGTATCACCTCCGTCCCAGCAGAGCTAACGGCGACAGCATCGTCAACGAAGACGGCACACTGCACAACGTCCTCGCGGTGGCGAACAGGAAGCGTCTCCCTGGTCCCCTCAAACGCCGCCACAGTTACACGCTCAACGTGCCCACCCCCGGCGGGCACTATAATTGTGTCATTCTTGGACCAGTCACACCGCAGAAGGGCCCGCGAGGCACCCTGCTGCACCTCAATGCGGTGAAGCAAACGATCGCTTGTGCTGAGCGCAAAAGGCATGACATCCCACAAAATGAGCGAGTTGTCAAGGCCATAGGAGATCATGCTGGTGGCCCCCACGTCAAGGGCCATACAACTCACAACGTCACGGTGGCCCTTAAACCCGTAAAGGCTTCTCATCGTGCGGGTATCAAAGCAGCGAATATTCCCTAAAACGTCACCAACAAAAAATGAGTCACGCGAAGCCGCAAGCGACGTGATTGGCACTCGTAGATTAACTGTTGCAATATTCTTTTTTTGCTTACAATCAGCCAACACCAAAAAGCCATCATCACCACCAAAAACAACGAATGCCTCATTCACCGCCGTCACTGCATTTATTACCGGCCAATTTATAGGCCTCCCACGACCAGAGAAGCGGTCAAAAGAATGCTCTCGCTGCGCCGTCTCAACATCCCACATGCCAACAGTGCCGTCACCCTGAGCTGTGCAAAGGTGTGTGTGGCGCAAAAAGCATGCATCCACAATCGCAGGGCCCTCCGTGGCGATTCCGCTGACATGCGTTGGACCGCCATCACGGGAAGCAGCATCACTCCTCCACAATAACCCGATGCCCCCTACATCGCATGTGGCGAAAATGCCACTGCCGTCCGTGGCAATGCCTAGCACCTCCTTTTGGTGGCCCGACAAAAACCAAGAGCCCCCGCCAGTAGCGCCTCTAACTGGCCTTTCTACAAGCGATAGCGACATGCCCGCTTTTCTTCTCTCTTTTTTTGTTCTTTCATTTTCACGTGTATGTGTGTGCGCAGGGAGGAAATGAATTTACGCGTGCAAACAAAACAAGACAAAAAAAAAGGAAAAAAAACGAATCGTCATGTGTGGAAAAAAAACAAGCTCAACCCCATTCATATACACATGGATACAGCCATGTCACAACAAAATAATAATATAATACATAAGGTGGTATGCCTGTTGCAATACGACACTTATCCACCCTATGACAACTTCATTCTAGAGGCTGCTCTAGTTGCTAAGGACCCACGTAACCAGGATACTTTGGGGGAAATAGTTCGTGGTTGACTTGGAATGAAGCTCTTTGCTGCATCAGCACTCAATACCTTATTTCCCAGTGTGTGATAAGTAGTGCTGGTGGCGGTGCTTCTATCTGGTTTAAGGCGTCTTCCTCCATGTTCGATAGCCCGTGGAGAGACAAGGTTACCTTTCACGTTAGGAGACTTCCTCAATAAATGTACGCACCTCCCCGTAGGGGTGGAACTTTGCCTTGCACATGGTGACTTGCCACCGAACGACGTCCGTTTATTTAACTCCACGGGCAAGTTGGAGACTGGCCGTCTGGACCTGGGACTGACGTTGGGAGCGGCATCAACTTGACAAGGGGTGCCTGGACGAGAAAGAGGCTTCTTCGACGTAACTCGTGCGGCAGGAGAGGCATGGCGACGGATGGGGTTGGTCTTCCGCTGAGTCGTGGCATCATGCACCACAGAGAGCGCATGTTTTTCTTTTTCAGCTGGTCTGAATACCTCCAAACAGGCGTCTCCAACAGCCACCCACAAAGCTAGATGACTTTCCATTTGCACCTCCTCGCCGGCAGAAAGATGGTCATTTCTTACGTTGTAGTCCAAGGTGAAAATCACATCCACAAGAGCCAGGGCCAAACTCTGCTTTTGAGGCGCAGAAAGCTTGGAAAAATCCGACTGAGATTGCACCATACGCCGCAACACCTTGATGTGTCGCTCCAACAGTGCTTTGGGGCTAGGACTTCGGGAAAGCGAGTCCATCAAAACGTTAATCCGACGCACCACGATGGAAGACGCAATGAAACACTGTGACTTCAGCCTTTGAAGGTGTTTCCTCACTTCACTAGAAGCGGGAGCTTCCAGGTCTTTCTCAGTCATCAGCGGAGAATTACCCTGTGTTAGCATCCCCTTCCTGCTGTCGCCGCCTTCGACAAGAACCCTTCCCACGGATTTATGCACTTGAAAAAGCAACTCATATGACAGTTTTGTATCGGTGCTGATACTATTCAACAGCTCCGCTGCTGCACCGCCATCAACGTCCAGCTGCTTAGCATCCCGCATGCTAGGCAATACCCCATTCCTCACGACGTCCGCCATCTGATACCCAATCATACGGATGGCTTCCGTCATCTTTCCAGTGAGGGCAGTGACACCTCGAAGGTCAAATTTCGCGTTTGTCAAGATGGTGTCGCTGCCCATTTGAAGCCGCTTCGCATGGTGCAGATCGCTATGAGCGCCGCTGTCGCCTGAGACCTCCGTCGGAAAAGCAAAATCAAACAGAAAGGCAATGGACCACTGAAGCTCAAAAAGACTATTACGAAGCTGTCGGATATCGTCTTCGGAATAAGGTAGCAACTCCCGCATTCCATCAGCCTCTTTCTTCAAAAAACTCTTCTCGACTGATTTACCAAATACAAAACAAAGTGAAAACATGCTATCACCATTGGTGAAGCAACCGGCATGTGCCAACTTCAGCGTTACGGAATCGGTCTGGTACGTAAAGCCAAACTTCGTCCGAGTGAGAACGCCAGTGGTAGGTAGGAATGACAGAGAAATATCCCCCGCAGGACCAAGGGTGATGGTGTCCCCGAGCTCCATCCACCCCAGCTGCCACACAAATGATGCAGTGTAGTCGCAAGGTGGGTTGCTAAGAACCAACCAAACCCCTTCGCTGGCTCCACGCTCAAGCTGCAGCTGCAGCCGAAGCCGCTCATTGTATTCTTTCAACTGGCTTACTTCTCTCTCGAATTGGTTGTACTGGGCCTTCTGAATCAAACCTGATGTTACGGAATCAAACTCCTGGCACGACGTTTCCCAATCCAAAATCCGTGAACCAGTCGTCATCGGCGGGCTTGCTGACACCATAACAAAGCGAAATATCATTTCCCTCCCCAAGATAATCCGGTCGTTATGCCGCAGGGCACGCTCAGCTGAGAGCAATTCACCGTTCACATACGTCATACCGCATTCTGGGCGAAGGAAAACGGTGTTGTCGTCATACTTGACGCGACAATGGGGGGAATAAATGCTTCGGTGTCTAGCCCCATTTTCCGTCTCATGTAAAGGAAATACAACAATGTCAGCACGTCCAGCATTGCCTTTTTCTGCAAGAATGTAGCTAACTCCTTTTGAAATAATATGGGCCAGCTTCTCTCCCACTGAGAGCTGAGGGTTGAGGTTAATAAGGTAGGGACCCTCAGACTGAGGTGCAAAGTGGCAGAACTCATTCAAGAACAAAGACCATGCCCTTGCATCTTCTAGACAAGCTTGCAGATTCATCTTTGCATCCTCTCCAAACACGGTGTTTCGGCAAGTCCTGCACAAATCCTGTGCCAGAACCAGGCCACGATCCAAGAAAGAAGAACATCGAGAAGCGAAAAATACGCAAACGGATGTAATTCGTGTTCCTAGTACTATTCCCACATGCTCTGCTGCACGAGACAGGTTACCTTTATGTGCAGCTTTGGTCCAAAGCATTAACGTCAAACGAACATTGGAAAAGGCAAAAGAGCGACTGGTAGGTTCAACCACGGAAGCTTGTATGGAGCAGCATCGGTGCCGCCCACCCTCCTCCTCGATGATAGCCTCAATGTCACTTAGACGATCGCAGCGGTAATTTAATATGTCACCAGCAGCCTCATCAATAAACGACAGAGTGAACCTTGTGTACGCCCCCATTGGGACCAGAAAATGCATGGCAAAATGAGAACAAAACGCCTTTGACAGAGCCTTTCCACTCTCGCTGTCATCCACCAGTGCAAACACGAGTGTACTTTTCGCCTGCTCCTTCATTATGCTGGCGAATATTGTTTCATTTTCGCCGTAATATCGAAGATTCTTTGTACCTGCCTGGTATGCATTGCATGCCTCTGAAGCAGCAAAATAGCAGTCCGTACCCACCATTATTCAAATTGTCCTTTGAAAGGGAGAGAGAGAGGAGGAAAAGAAAGGTATGGAAGCAAAAGCCCCAACACCAAAGTCGTGCATGGACGTACACAGTACTCCTCATTACCGGTAAAGTCAGTAGGCCAACGTAGCAAAGAATAGTGTAAAAACGTGATGGGGCAGAGCGGAATAGGGCCTACATCTTTTTTTTTTTTGCCTTGTTTGCCCCTTTGATTCCCATTGTTTATGTGTCTATACCAATGATTTTCTCACATGTCCTTTTCCTCTGCATCGGGAATGCATGCTGTCTTCTGCTCTATGTAGTCAATAAAGTTGCGCTTCAAAAATTCTCTTAGTGCGGCGCCGCTCAGCTTTTCTCCCTCCGCCAAAAGCTCAGTTTCCTTGTCGGATGCAAGGGAGCTGGCGAAGGAGCACTCACTGGCCACATCGCCCCCTGCCTCTTCCACTGTAGCACATGAAGCAGCAGCGTAGCTGGTGCTGGCCGCGTTCTTCTCATCCTCACCGCAACTCTCTGTCTTCCGAGTCAGTGTCACCTCCTTCCGCGCCCGCTTTATTGTTGGACCATCCATCGGAGTGCCGTCAAGGAGGAAAATAAGCAAACTGAACTATACAATCAAACCAACAAAGGAGAGTGAGAAGGAGAGAGAAAAAAACAACATCGACCCAGTGCGTTCAACGTGGGCTGCGCAGCTCACCACACCTCATCACCAAAAGCATCTTATGTTGAGGGGATCTTGGGCCATAAAAGAAGGACACAGTCACACACATTCCCTCGCTCTCTGTCTCCTCCTTTTCATTTGACATCATTCATCTCAAGACTTCTTTTTCCCTTCTGTTGGCAGCCTCACTCTCTAATCATTGTGACCATGCGTACAGAGAGTTTTGTCCTTCTGAAAAATTCTCTCCGCCTTTACAGCATTCGCAGGATTTGCAGCATAACGATACGGCTTCCAACGCGCCTTCGTCGAGACCTGCGGCCCCAAAAGCCCAACGTTGCAAAACAATCGCTTCACGGGGCGGTGATGGTAGTTGCACAGTTGAAACTTGTCCTCCATTAAGTGCCGCATGAGCACGTACACACCATCCTTCTCCACACGGTCAAAGGGTCTAAAGCGAGTGTCCCATGGCTCTGTCCGCTTCGAAGCACTAAACTCCACGTAGGCCCGAAGACTATCAGCCAGAACGCGGTGCCTGTCAAGCAGATACTCCTCACGCCACTTTTGTGCCTTTTCATGAAACCCCTGACCGACCTTCGGGCGCTTCTTTGGCTTTGCCCAGTACCTACGCTGCGTGAGCGTGCTAGACAGTGCCGCATGGCAGCCTCGCAGATCTGCCCCGCTCACAAAGAGCCTGTGAAGCATTGGCAATTGAACGCTTTCAAAGAAAGAAAGAAAAAAAAAAAAAAGAAGAGAGATAGGAAAAATGAAACATTCAGAAACAATAAAAAAAAAAATAGTAATGGGGAAGACGGCATTGAATTTAACATCGACCACACGCCACCGCCACCGCCACCGCCACCGCCACCACCGGCATCGTCATGGGGGACTATAGCACTACGCGGAAGCCCAAACTCGGAGCTGTCACCCCCGAAGGACGTAGTTGGAAAGAAAACAAAAACAAAACAACAACAACAACAACGCCAACAAAAACAAGAATAAACAATTCACTCAACATTATCCTCATTCACTGCGGCCCTTGGAGTTCAGCAGCTTCTCAAGCTTCGCAAGTTGGCGTTTCATAACGTCAATCTGCTGGCGCAGTTCCACCGTATCATTTGGGGTGTCCACATGTTCCGTGGCGTTGGAATTCGCTTCGTTTTCAATCGGAACATCGTAGCGTTTCATTGCTCTGGCCAACCTGGCCTCTTCCGCTGCTTTGGCCGCCCTCCGGCGCTGATACTGCTCACGCACCGCCTCCTTTAACACCTCACACTCATCGTTTTTCTTCAGCTCCTCCTCTGTGGGCTCCAGGGCAGCCTTCATCGGGTCCTCGGGCAACGGTATTCTGCTAAAGAAGCTTTCCACCATTGAGTCCAGCTTCTGAAGGTGGACAGCGTCGGCCTCAGGACTCTCGAGGTGGTCCAAGTTACCTTGTCCAATGCAATTCCGCAGCGTCTCGCCAATGCCGAATTGCTTTCGACGCTCCTCCTCCTGTAGCTCCTCCTGCAGAGTTCTCATGAGGTCACTCGGCACGGTTCCCGTTCCAAGGACACTGCCAAACCCCGACAGACCCCGCAGTCCGCTGGGCAACGACACAAGACCGAACAGGCGGCGGCACATCCCTGACAACACATGTCGCAGAAATTCACAAGAGGACGAGAGAGAACAGCATCAAACAAGAAAATACACAAGAAAGAAATCAACAGACAAAAAAGAAAAAAAACTCCGTAGCGGCTCGTCGCGTCAGGGCAGACAAGCACAGTTGAAGAGCACCGCACAAAAGTAAGCGTTCAACACATTTTTTCCCTCTTCTTTATTCCCCAATACACAACAATTTTAATGGCCGCAATCTCCTTCTTTCCACCTCACACACACAAACAAAACGAAAGAGGACACTCCTTTCCCCAATGCTGCCGGGCAGGACCGGCAAAAATAAGCGGGGGAGGAGGGGAGGGGGGGGGGGGGGGGGGCACCCAGCCAAAATCTGCTTCACCTGTTACAGCAAAAACATCAGACACGCATTCTTCCCAGTGAAGACGGGACGCTGCGAATAACGCACTCGTCCGAAACGCTGTGAGGAGGGAAAAGGCATAGATGCATTAAAAACCCACAACCCCAAACAAGGGCCATCGACAAAGCAAAAAGTGGAAAAACAACAACAACAAAAAAAAAAAACGACGATACACACTTGTCACCCGGGTCCCCCAAAAGAAAAAATAATAACAATTAAAAAGAAAAGAGCATACGTATCATTGAGGAATCGGAGAGCACCTGGCAGGATCATCAATGCGCTGAAAAAGATGTAGACCCCCATTTGTGGCAGTGATACAATACCCCTCCAGTGGATAGAGAACGCGATGCCAGGTCGTCCCCCCAGCACTCACACGCTCAGTGTCCACAAAGATTTGATCGCCGTATTCAAATACCCCAATTCGTTCAGAACTCAACGATGGTTGAGAACGAACGTTGACACAGGACTGTGGTCGACAGACAAAAAGGCAACTTGTCCCCTTAAGCCGAGGAGGATGCCATGGCCATGAACACAGCACTGGGGCAAAGAGGGGAAGTGAAAGCAGTTCCCTGGCTGTGGGCCGTTTGGTGCGACTCTTCGTTAACATCTTCATTACCATGTCACCCAGGCACTCAGAGTAATAGCCTTCTCTCAGTCGACATGGATGCACCGCTCGCTTCTTTACAAGATATTCATAGATTTCCTCCACACTAGTTGCTGGGAATGGAAGCGCATTGGTCATCAGTCTATAAAATGCCACACCCATGCTCCACACATCCGTTTTCCTGGTATACTCCAAACCAGAAACGACCTCTGGGGAGAAATACAGTGGGGTTCCCAAACGTGTGACGGAGACTTCATCCGTAAATTGCAGAGCCTTGCTTAGACCAAAATCACCAATCTTCACCATACCCGTGGAACGCTGAAACATGAGATTTTGTAGCTTAATGTCCCGATGAATGAGGTGCTTCAAATGAACATGCTCAAGCCCCATCAACAACTGTGCAAACATTGAGATTAGCTGCGACTCCGAAAAGGGAAAGGCGAGTCCAAGGTAGTCCTCCAGGTCCCCTCCATCGCAATACTCCAGCAGCATGCAGCATCGTTTATGTGCCGGCTCAATCCATGAGCGGTAGCACCGTAAAACGTGGTCGTTCGAAGTCAACAGCATATTGTTTGCTTCGTCAAGAATGCGACCGTCATTCTGCACCATTTTTGAGCACTTGAGAACAAGCAAAGAGTCATCTCCGATCTCCTTCACAAGAAAAGCATCCCCAAAGGCCCCCCTTCCAAGAAGTTTAATGACACGGTACTGACCGTCAAAAATGTCCGCTTGCTGCTGCATTGATGTTACCCTTCAAAACAACCAAAGACGCTTAAGCACCCACCGCGAGCCAAGTGAAACGTGATCAAAAAGCGCGCATATTCAGAGATGCATGCAGGAAGACCAATATTATATACATATATACAGTACAAGATATATATTCATATATATATATATATATATATATATTGTTTGTTCCCGCATCAACTCAGCCCAGAATATAAAAAATCAAAACAAGAAACACTACAGATCAAGTCTCAGTTGTCGCTCCAAAGGCCGAAAGCCCAACTTCTTATAGAACTCCATCGACGGCTCTGCACTATCAAGGATAACTTTATAGCAGTCGCGTGAACGGGCAAGATTGCAAAGGTCGAGAACAAGAGCCTGCCCAAGCTTCCTGCCTCTGTATGAAGGATCCACGACAACGTCTTCAATATGACCCACAGATTTCCCACCATGAGTAAACTTACGCTCAACGAACAGTGATGCAGTCCCCACAAGACGCCTGGTTGGCCGATGAACAAGTACTCTCGTTACTATGCCGGCTTGACGACGCGCATCAATAATTGCACGCGAGACAGACAAATTTAGATCTGGTGAATCAGACAGATGTCTCAGAAGTTCTAAAAGGCCCGGCACATCTTCCTCTTCAACATCTTTTAATTCCACTTCACCAGCTGCATCCAACATGTCTTCTGATTTTCCGTTGCACTAACAAAACAAAATAAAATAAAAACCATATATATATATATATATATATATATATAAATCAATGAGCACAGTTGCACACGCATCAACAGAAGAACTTCACTTAAAATCGTCATTGTTCATACCACACAATTCACATTTGTACACGTCAAAAATTAATGAGGACCAAACACGCTCTTAAACTGCGGAACAGCCTTGTAGTTACCCGCAAGTGTGGAAAAAGAAGACGATTGGAAGGTGGAACTGGCGTTTGAAAAGACACTAGCAGAACCAGCCCCACTTGCTCCAACACCACCAAATGCGTTTCCACCTCCCTGCTGGCTAGAGCCTCCCCCTCCACTTGATTGCGCACTTCCAAACGCACTTACAACCCCACCAAACGCACTTCCCGCCGTTGCAGATGGCACATTAACGGAATTAACCTGACCAAACGAACTTGGCCCACCAAAAGCATCCCCAACAGCTCTATCAGAAGCAAAAGCACTACCCGGCTGGGTAAGCGCGCGTCCTGAAAGCACCGGCTCAGTAAAACCCGACCCACCCAGACCAAAAGCACTCGACACTCCAAAGCCTCTCCCACCAGCACCAGCAACTGATGCAAAAGAACTCGACGGGTGCCCAAAAGAACCACCAGCTGCATTCACTGAGTTCAAGCCCACCGCTACCCCGGTTCCATCAACCCCAGTCGCGACATTTCCAAATACTGATATCATGCTGCCTTCCGCAGCCAGTCCAAACGGTGGTGGTTTGTCACCCGTTGCAGCCTGACCAAACGGTGATGGCTTGTCACCCGTTGCAGCCTGACCAAACGGTGTGGTTTGTCACCCGTTGCAGCCAGACCAAACGGTGGTGGTTTGTCACCCGTTGCAGCCTGACCAAACGGTGATGGTTTTGTCACCCGTTGCAGCCTGACCAAACGG